GGGCAACGTATTTATCAAGCAACCCTTAATAAGCATACGTTGTTTCGAGGTACGATAGTAAGACTTACCTACATAACAATTCTTAAATGCGGTTGTGGAAAGCATAAGACCGAAAATTCGGCCATGTTTTATGACCGGCTGAGTTACGGTAGAAACAGCTAGATTGCCAGCCGGTTAGTGACGAACGAGAGAATTAAAGATTGCAAATCTGTTTAGAACGAGTTCCAATTCACAGCAGATCTTTAATGGAAATGAAACGCAAAAAGCCTAGAGATTATTTAGCAATACACTTTTAATATCGTTCTGAAAAATAAGCCTTTTACAAAAATAACATTTTACTGTACTTCATAGTGCGTAAGCGGCACCATGCCTATAGTGGAGGAACTCAGTAGAGTTCCTCTAACCTAACCTAACCTAACCTAACCTAACCGAGTGTCCCATAACGGAAGGCATAAAGTGTACTTTGGCATATATTTTAAAAAAGTTCTATTATATAATATAAGTAAATCGCTTTCTTTATTCACGTCAGCTGTGTCATTGATGGGACTGGTAGGTTGCGGTTCCTGTTCTTTTTTCGATCAGAGGCCAGTTATATTATCGTGTAATGTACGCATAGGTACATTGCATAAAGAACTCGGCACTTTTGATGCATAGTTATGTTGTCGTACTTCTCGTATCGTTTACAATGGGCTCGTCTGTTGATCAGAAAGAAAAGTCAGTTTAGATTTTGCTGATAATTATTACCCGAAAATAATTGAATTGCATAATGTTCTGAACTTGAGGCACTATGTCTTGGCTGTGATGATAGCCAAGGTACAATATATAATAGTTCATATTATTTTCTTGCAAAATATATTGAAGCACAATAAATAAAGGTAATTGAAGCACATACAAACCTAGTTCTTTATTCGAGAAATGTTTATATTGTGAATTCACAAGAACGATTAGTGTGTCGACTTTATTTACTTTTTGAAATATATTTAACAATGTAAAGTTTATTCGTGTTTACAAGTTGTTCCAGAAGTGGCGCTAACACCAGGCGAACTCGACCTCCTTGGATGGTCGAATCCGCCTAGTGTTGAAGCAACATGGGAATAAATCGAGGCGAGATGTCTACGTGTTACGTTGACAAACATTATCTAGTCAGTAGATCAATACGATTCCCAAACATACGCACACACATATATATGCATAGAAAAAGTAACGTAAAATACAACTCGACAAAAGGACACCTGTACTTTTTACACTAGGACGTGTTCTCACTCGAGTGGCTCGAGTCACTCTAACGCTACTGGCTTTATTCGGTACACAGCGGAACGAACCGTGGAAGCTGCTTAAATTAGCAGCGACTGTTCGTGTTCTTCGTAGGAGTCCAAATAGCCAAAGGATTAGCCTTATTAGTATTTGTATTCGAGTCAGAGGTACGCTATGTTTAGGTCGCATTCATCGTTCTGGATCACTGCTGGGACGCTCATCGCGGAGGTTCAAGTTCCGAGTAAGGTAGAGGTTGACGACAACTAATTCACTGTTTACAATGAAATACTTCGACGAGTTTTGTCTCCGGAACCTTCGTGACGCCACAGTACGACGGGCATTCCCCTAAAATTAACATGCTGATGCATCACCATTTACCCATGACGAGACTTCTCTTTTAAAGATGTCTGCTTCAGAAAATGTCGTTGTGGAGTTCATCGCTGAAAACGTTCTGCACCTGTTCCTGCCGAACGAGAAACAGAGTGAGGAGGATTTTTTTGGCTAGCAGAGCTCTGATCTAGCAGTTGGTATAATGTGCGTAGAAACAACTTGAAAACCTTTATTGCTTTTACTAGATTTTATTCTTCGGACGGAGCGAAACAAACGTTTTGCTTTCCCTGCTCTATTTGCTAGCTGTTATTTTTATTACTATCATTAGTGTTATTACTGTTATTATTATATAGACGAGTGCTTTCTTTGTTTTTTTCGTCTAATATCAGTCAGCCTAATCAAAAAGCTCCAATAGAGCTGCGAGGGCTCTTCTTAGCCGCTTTCAGCTTATGATATCGCACAACGTGGAGCGCTTATATTAGGGAACGCAATTTAGCAGAACAAGAAACGCAGATGGACTATCGGGCATGACCGCATATTCCTCGTACGTATTCATGCGCGTGCGTTTATCTTAATATTTCTATAAGGATGAAACCTGCATGTATGCGTAATCTTACTAGCTAACTAATCCATTGTGCTTTATACACTGTACACAGATGCAAGCTATTACCGTAAGCACCCGCTATGTAATACTACTACAAATATCAAATAGCTAAAAAAAGGGCGCACCTCTTTTTTCATTAACTCGAAACAAGATTATCATATCTTAAATCCATCCAAACAGCGAGCTTACGCTGATCGTAAGAAGAAAAAGACTTCGCTGCTAGTATAAAAAGTCGCCTTGGAAAACACGCGCTGCGCGTCCTTTAGTTTCTTGTTATTGAACCTACTTTAGAGTCTCACGAAATCGTGACGAGTAGGCGATGTGGGCGTAACATCACGCGCGCCTATTTTCATACTTTTTTCATTTCGAGATAGAATGCAATTGGAGAAATGTAAGACTTAGCGGCACGGCGAACGTATTGTTAGCTGCCAGCTGCGAGCAAGTTTATTCGTCAGTGAATAATAGTGCGATTTCTCGAGCTTACTTACTTACTCGAACTTACAAGTACGTGTTTGTTTACCTTTAAAGAATCTCTAATATCCTATCGGAAATTAGTTTAGGTCCTCCACATGTACCCATCGAAAACATTTTGGGTTTTAATATTAACTTTCATTTATAGACAGCGTACATAATAGATTCTGTTTTGCTGGCATTTATTTGCAGTAACGAAATACGAAACAAGTACCTATAAGTCAACGTGTGAACGAAGCCACTCGAGTCGAGATTCAGAACAAATTAACCAAACTTCTGTCCGATCATCCTCTAACACGGAAGCCTTAAAGATACATATTTCAGAATAAGGACACCTGTCCTAATTTAGTTATCAACGAGTTTCGAACACAACGTCCATTTGAATATTAAAATTTCGTTTATTTTCATCAAAAAACATGATCAATGGTGTTACAATAATGACATAATGTTGTTGTTTCTGCTGACGCCTCCTTCAATTGTCACTTTTAGTTGATATTTTCACCTCGTCGTTTAAATGGAAATTAAATTATTCACAATAGTACATCATAATACTATGCCACTTTACTCCAAAATCGAATTGGTAGTAGTCTTATACCCAAATGACCACCTGTCCATCCAGTTTTTACCTCTTTTTTTTTTTTCCATTTTCCTCTTTCAATTCCGCGATTGCACAACTTCACTTTGTCTTCCAGAACGGTACACTCCCCCTTTTTTCAATTACAGCTAACGATTCGATGATCGTCTTACGAACATTGCCAGATCAAGACCTCTACACTTCGTGTTCCTTTATTGGTCTCAGAGCATCGGCATTTGCTATACATTTTGATTCTAGTTTCAGTCTCTCCATCATCGTTATCTTCCCTTCTCGAAATCGCCCCAGGATATCCCCGTACACTCACCTGCCTATCGTTCCTGCTACCTGTTTTCTTAGATGCTCCTCATATGTTATTATTGTTATTAGAATTACTACTGTTATTGTCATTGACGATGTGCATTCTTTGATTCTCTGCGAAGGCGAAGGTTTTCGCTGCCCGAATACTGCAGCGAGCCCTGCGGGGCGGTCATGGCGCGTCAGCCACCGCCCGCGGGCAGAGGTGTCCTAGATGCAAGCGCGCAGATCTTCCATCATCCCTTTTTTTATTCGTCATAGGACCACTTACCGCGCTTTTGTTCTCTCTTACGGGTGCATTAGTCATACTAATAGTAATAATCTTTATCCATAATATCGTCACTGTTTGCTTATTGATATGTCATAACTTAGGAGAAATTTGGCTGTGCTGACGTGTAACTTCTGTCTTCCCTAACATCCTCTCTTCCATAAGATAATTTTCTCATAATCGTTATTGTTGTCGTAATAATTAAGTCGTCTCTTCCCTTCGGTATAATCTTCGTTACGTAATCCATCTTCTCTTCTGGCTTGCCTTCTTTCTCGCTCCCGCTCGCCTTCTCTTCTATTATTATTATTATTAGCCTTGTTATTTCCATTTTCTATTTGATTACTTGTATTCTTACTGTTCTCATGAATAGCATTATATTATTAATAATAATAATAATGGTATTTTTCGTCTTCGTTAATTATCAATATTATTTTATTTGTTACTATCTGTCAATATTGCAACAGATAGTTGGTCAGTTAAGCGTGGTTTGTCACTCCGCTTACAGTTCCTTTTTTCTAGCTAAACTGGTCGAGGACCTGCGATGTATCTGTGTAGCTAATACGCGCAGCACCAGCTTCGACCGGTTCTGGGGTCCATTTCAGGTGTGAGAGATATGATAACAAAATCAAGCAACACCAGTGTCACCTGGAGCTTCTTTTGCCTTGCACATAACCAAGATCTTTCCTCCAGCCTCGTATATATATATATATATATATGTATGTATAAGGTAAGTATGTACAAGCTATTGCACGCGTCCTGCCATAAGACTCCGGCCGCATCTCATCCTTCTTACAACTCGCAGATCTTCACACACAGTCTATCATACTGTCGTTTAAAATTTCAGCGCTGTGAGGTCATTTTTTTTCTGTTAATCTTGCTATTTTATAGTGTCAGCTCATATATAAATTGAATTGTCTCGAATTTGATAACCGGTACCTTCTTGATAACTATAAAAAAATGCAAATATAAACTTCTTTTGTGTTGTTGTTGTTGTTGTTGAAAAATGAAAACCTCAGCGCTGTGTACATGGCGCGTCCGTCGTCCTTGGTCAAGTTGGTGAGCGAGTTCTATGTACAAACGAAACGCTTTTTGTCTAGGGATAGACGCGGTCGTTGCTTGATTTTATACTCTCTGTTTTGTTTTTATATTCATTACGTTGTTCCTTTTCCATCTTTATTTTTTCACTCTCGTTCATGCTTTTTTGCGTCGTAATTGTTTCTTTTCAATCACTAAGTTTCCTAGTGCATCAGTTGTGTCAGTTGTACTAAGCATGCTGCTATAGAACCCGTCCATAGAACATTTTAGATCGGCCTCTGCTACCTTTCCCTTGCGTTAGTCACTTCAAATATCATCTCTTGCCGTGACTTTCAACTTTTTTGCCAATATAATTTAATGCAACCACTCTTTTTTATCAGCCATGAAGTTTCATCAGCCTCTTCCGCGACCCATACCCCGCACCGCTTATCGACTTTTGAACTACGACCAGTAGACGTATCGTTAAATTAATTCGATTTTTTCAGTTCTCGTGCTGAACCGGTCGCATATATACTTGACACACTTTTGTCTGTCACTTACTGCAGCTATTTACACGCTATATATATATATATATATATATATATATATATATGCCGATCCCCTCTGTCCTTACGACGTCTACTTTTGATCTTCATACCCATAACTGCTCTGACAAACCGGTCAAATCCCTACCTCATCTGCGTAGCAGATTTATTAGCGCGCGGTTAGCTTTTTCGTCGTTACCTTGGTCTCTAGTCAGCCAGTAAACCATTTTGCTGAGCCTTATCTACACGAAATTCCTGATCCCAAAGCTGCAACCTATGACGGCCTTGGCGGCCCACCAGCTTGCCAATTCAAATACCTTCAAGACTGTCCTAAGCTTCCTTTCTACCACTCGAAATGCCTCCCTAATCAAACCCTCGGTTACACTACCGTATATGGTTAGAGGAGGTGGCGAAGGTCTTTGTTCGTCTTGTCAAGGTAGAATGCGTTGTGGAACTTGTCTCTGACAGATATTAGCCAACTACATGAGGCCTTACGTCATTACTGCATTTTGTTATAACTTTTCCGTACTATTTACAAGAGCTTGTGACGGCTCTGTATCAATAATAATCTTGGTGTGAATTTAAGCCAGTCCGCTTTATCGTATGTATTTCCTTTTCACATTCCTGGGAAGTAGCCTTTATCTGGATTTTCTTCGCCAAATTTCTCTTTGTTTTGTATTTAACTTTAGAACACTCATCCACCCGTCCTAATCAGTCTTTGGAAAAATGCCATGCGGTGCCTGTCACTGGTTCACTTTTTCCCATTTCACTGACCAGCCCGCATGATGAAGCTACTTGCCACGGCGCCTATATTCAGTGTCGATCATACCTGAAATAATGAATTGACACATATTCGTAACGTTGCTTTCAGTACCACCGAATAATGTAAAATTCTCACCCCTTGCCCTTTTCGAAATAATGCCTTGCTATTTCATTCGATTACGATGCTTGTCAGCGCGCGCATTGCCACGATCGCATTGGATAGACTCAGTCAACTGCCCGCTGTGTCGTCGGGTGTGCTTATTTCGTCGACATGACGGGAGGACTATCATACACCTAAGCATCATAATCTTCCCCTCATAATATAGTGCCTTGTCATTCATTACATAGTCATTATTACTAATATTATTTTAGTACCATCATCACCATCAGCGTCATTCGTATTCTTGTCCCTTCCGTAGCTTACTGATCCACATCATATGATTTTTTGTACATAACAAAATAATATCGGCAGCCCCTTCGCGTATAAGTACATACTTTTTGCTATCTAGACTATGAAGTGGTGTCAGGCCGTCTCTGTTCCACAAAAATCGACTCCAGGTTGTCGCTTTCGTCGTCATCAACGTCATTGTTATCGTCAAGGGAAATACTCAAAAAAAAAAACAAAAAAAAAAAAGCACGCCGAACAGTTTTGTAAGAAAGAGAACCACAACGATGCGTCTTTTTACCCACGGACTCACCCCCTTCCCTTGTCTGCAGATACACAAGAATCTACGGGTGTATGCATATGTATATATATATATATATATATAGATTTAAAAAAATAATTTTACGTAAATGATCCTTTAAGAAGTCTATGTCTTCAACTGATCGTACAATACTGACAGCAACTGCAATAATAATAATAACGCATACTCTTGTTCCATTAATTAATTTTAAGCGTTAGGCCCGCTGTACAGATAAGTAGAAATATATGCATCTGTGTATATATCAGTCACAGTAATATCTCCGTTTGGCATTCACAGTGAAGAAAGGATGATATGCCACGCGTTTAGGGTACGAATCTCCGTTCCAACCACTACGAAACGATAAAAATCTATAATAGAATATAAAGGTCTATACGATTGTATTAGCCGACAGAATTGCCATATTCATCACTAGTAATTAAACTATCGAGTAATCATGGGGCATTGATATCGCTTAGTAAACGCTCAATCCCGTTGGGGAGTGGATGGGTGGTATAACAGCAATCTCTTGCTGCGAATGGCTGAGACATTCACGTTATATCCATTGCATCGGCTGGAACAGAGATGGCGCCGAACTCCTTTTAGATAAGTCGGGCACTTGGTTATAAGTTGCTGCCATTTGCTATTCGGTGGTTATTACTACAGTTTCAGTCATCCAGTATAGACAGACCATATGCGTAGAGGTGTTTCAAGCTGAACTTTGCTCTCGCAATGTTTGCAGACCACGCTATCGTAGTGTTTCCCACCGACATAGCTTCACGTTTTTCATTACGTTTGCTTGCTATCAATAACTTGCGCGTCTTCACACTTCAGCGTTACATTTATACTATTCTAATAGTTTAGTCCGCCTTGATAATCGTCATTATCGTTATGTTTTTATTGATCTCTTATTATCATTCGTACTATTATTATCATAATTAGCTGTAGTTGTTGCACTTATTTCGGGCAGTGACGGTGTATCCCATTCCGTCACTGGGTCACCGAAGTATCAATTATTGGAGCGTCAGGCTCTTTGAATGGTCGAGTTCAGTCAGGCAGTCCTGTTACGAGAGTTAACTGCAGGTGCTTGCTGATAGAACATTTCCAGCCCAGCAGTAAGCGTAGATGGTTAGCCCCAAGTGTTCTCAGTGGTGACGATTGGTTGTTTCAGCAGTTGGTGATCAATCCTTATCTACGGTTCAAGAAAGAAGGTGCCACCTCCATAAACGACCATGTTCGAGATGCAGACTTATTTAGATACAGGGCTGAACGTTGATTCCGCTGTTGGCATGTGTGACAAGTCGGACGTGGTAGTCGGTTGAGAGTGTGAAGTTCCCGATACAGCCAACTAGGCCAGTCTGATAGCGACCCAGTGTCATGTGAGTTAGGTCGCGGATACCGCCTGTGAATATGACAAACAACGGTGTTAGAACAAGTGCAGGCACGCGGCAGAGGGCGGAGGCGCAAAGATGCGGTGGGTTCCGTTTCGATTCGCTTTGATCCTCGCGATTTTCCCTTATTCGCCCTTATTTATAAGCAAACCTCAGTAGGCCTTCATGTTCCATAGTGGTCTATCGTATAGCTCTTGGTGTATTTAATAACGCTGAAAAAGTTTCTTATAGATGAAAATACGGCATTATTGATGTACAACCATGTATACGTGTGTGTTCAAACATTAGACAACGTGAAAATAAAATGTAACAGACACATTCAGCCCAGCAATCGGCTAACCTAGAAAGAGTCCACTGTTCACGGTGAGCTGGTTCAGTTGCCCGAACGAAGTACCCACTATGGTCGGACCATCATCCACTGTAAGAGATCCTTCCTGACGATAGCGTATGGCCCGTAATGTGTGCCAATGGCCATCATCAACCCTCGAGTAGTTGTAGACGAGATCGCCCTCACCCGAGCCGAGATTAAAACGGAACACCAACTGGCCCTTGTTGATGCCGAGCGAGACGAAGTCAGAGCTGCGGGAAACATCTTTCTCGCCAGCCCATAATAGCAGACCATGTCCCGAAAATGAACGGAATTTCATCTGGATGTCGATCTTCGAGCCGCGCACGCGCTTAATAATCTCTTCGGCTGTGTAGTGCAGGAAGCTCTGACCACCCATCATTGGCTGGGCAATCGCTTCCTGTACTTCGATCTCGCATTGCTGGCCGGAAAAGCCGAGCTTACAGTGACATTGGAACTCATCCATGGTCGGTTCACACTGACCGCCATTGTAGCACGGTCCCGTGACGCAGGGATGTGCACAGTTGTTGACATTTCGACCGGTCAGAGCTTCCTGAAGAAGCTTCAGCGGTTTATTGTTTATCGTCACCTAAATCGTAGAGCAGAATGCATAGCCACAGTAGGGCGCGTTAGATTAATCTCACCGATTTGTTTTGTTAGCTGGGTCCGTCAAAAAAATATTGATTTTTAGTTGCTTCGACTACAGCGATTTATATAGCACTTATATTTGTAGTTTTTTTTTGCAACGATGAGAATAACATTGTCCGAGAGTCATGCAGCTTCTATAAAAACATAGACGTTATCTCCGTAACGACTTTCCTACGATGCTGCAACACGAGACCGTCATTCTGGGCCTGCACCTGAGTAGTCCTGAGATACCGGTCGACCGGGCTATATATATATATATAGGTATGTCTCGATAAAACGTGGATAACTCGTTGTTTGTTCACAAGAAAGAGTTAGTAATAAAAAAAAAACCTTTTTAACAACCTTTTGTATGCATCCCGCAAAATTGTGCGTGATAGCAGCATTGGGCGAGGTTTCTTTAAAAGAAGGTACTCCGCCGATGTACAGGTTCAGATCGAGGGAGAGCTGAGTGAAGGCTCCTGGTGCGAAGCCGACAATATACGGGTGCTTGTCCACCCGTAGAATGCCAAGCTGTCCCGTGCGCGAAATGGAAATCGTGTGCCATTTGTCCACGGTGACTGCCTCGTCGCTTCTGAGAAAACGAATGCACCAATATTATCTCTATTACTCTGAAGACCTAAAAGGTTTGCCAGGAGTGGACGAATGTGTGTCATTAAAGTGAAATATTTTCACAGTTTGGCGTGCTCGATAGTAGGACCTTTGACTTAGGTTATTATACATCTTTACGTTCTCATGTTATGTTGTCTCGCTGTGGCAAGTGAAGGCTGAAAAAGAACATTTCATCAATTCTGTATCAGCAGATATTAAAGCTGAATGATAGCCCTTGAGAAAAGAATAGCGAACGTCAATATACCTAACAATAGCGGCCCCGTTGCCGAGATCGAATCTAAATTCGACGAAACCGTTGACGAGCTGCAGCATAATAAAGTCGCCCTGTCCCTCGAGAGAATCTCCGTTGTAGAAGAAAACTCCGTTTAGAGACCGCGGCTTCAGCACGACGGTGATCTCGAGGAAGGACAGAAAACGCTCACCGAGGCCGGGGAAACGCATGAACGATGAACCGTTGAACGCCGGTACCAGGATTGTCACCTCTTCACAGTTGAGCAGATATGGAAAAACAAACAGAGCGTTCGCTTGGCTATTAAACCGCCTTCTATTTCGCCCGTAGGTGAGGTGACAAGGCTTTCTCAGTTCGATATTCAAAATGCACTGAACCCGTGCATTGAACGTTAGTTTGGCTTATTTGACAGGAAAAATAGACGATTTATATTGTTATCGCCTCATCAATCTCAATACGAATGTCATATAGTATCGGAATCTAAGCATACAGAATTACTGTGTTCAATGCTTGCTAGTAAATACAGGACGTAGCTAGTGTAAGATAACTGCGAAGGGACTAGGGTTGTCTTGGCTCATTTACTACCTTGATCGCAAAACTCTCCTTCGTAACCTAGCGGGCAGATGCATGATGCAGTCTTTCCGTGGTCGACACACTGTCCTCCGTTCTGGCAGAGCACGTTATTGCATGCATCATCACGGCATTCGCCTAAAAAAGAAAATGTGAACATGCAATTAATGGCACAGGTCAGGCGAAATTGAATTCGGAGCTCAGCTAACACTTAGCAATTGTAAAAGCTAAGAAAGAAAAAAGGTAGCAAAGCATTAGATATCTCGTTAGCAGCTAAAGTCGGTATCTTGATTAAGTCGATTTCCACAGCAGCCGTCTGTCTAATGACACAAATAGGAATATTATATGAAAGAATAGCGTGTTTCGCAATGAAATAGTTTCGTCTTAAATAAAGCCGAAAGCTTTATTTGCATGTCAGGGTTTCATAGCCATGTTGCATAGTTTTAAAATGAATGTTTCGCTCTACTATAAGCGTGTCAGGTCACGTTTTGTTTATTGCGTATCTCACTCTTTTTTTTTAAGCCGATACAAAGCCCAGTTGCTGTTTTCTTCACGTATGCGATTCTTTGTAGTCTATATTGCACATCTTCTGTCCACGGTTTTTGCGTGTTAACAATCATTTCAAGCGGGCGGTTGCAAAGCATGATTTCTAACACCTTCTTACTTGAGTTCTCCCCTGATCTCGTCGTTGTTTTCTCGATAATGCCTGCCTGGCTAGCGAGCTTCGTCTGTTCAGTAGCTCGCAACCGTACGACGGCAGTAACCCTGTGGCCAGCAGAAGCACCAGCCGTCGCGGTGGTTAATCCGCTATAAGTCGCTTCTTGTTGTCCTTGGCACGCTGTATGCGCTTAGGAGACGGCCTTCTACCATTAATGGTTTCTCTTTTTATTTGTTTATTTTCTGGCCGTGCCCAATCGGCGCATCCTAACCGGAGAAACAGCAAAGCCTGGCCGACAGAGTTTGGACGTATGGGACCTGAGGGTGGATGCGGTGAGCTACGCGACATGAAGGAATGTTTGGGGTTGCGTCAGAATACAATGCCAAACCCTGGCTTGGTAGAAGAGAAGCACCGTGTAAGCAATAGAACTACTGGCGGCATGACGCAGAATATGAAAACTGCACTCTATGGCACTGTAGAAAAGCTTCCAAAAATAACTCGGCAAACAGCATTCGCATTTCCTCTCTACGAAAGAAAGGGGCAGATTATTTCAGATGTCCGAGGCCCAATGGTATTGGTCTCTGTAGAACTGTGCAACGCAATACTGTAAAGGCAGCTTGTCGCTATGCGCTTCCTCGTTCCCTCACAGCCTTACATACAGACCCCTTTAATATTCCTTTCGTGACGACGGTTGCCCCATATGAAACGGTATGCGTTTGCGTGAGGACTCTGTCCAGCTTGCCTTAAGCTCTTTCTCTCGAGTTCGAGGCAACAAGGATCTCTTAAATGGGATACGCGAATTTCGGGAACAGAAGGAAATCGTGTAGGCTGGGAAGCCTGAAGATCTGTCAGAAGGATCAGCGACAGCCATATTGCAAGTGCAAACGCCGCGCGCAATGCGTCAGGAAGAGCTTCTAGGATTAAAACGACGCACACGGATGGTCTGAACAGATATTATAGAATGGAGCAATGAAAAACCCCTTGTCGCGTACTTTCAGAAATGATCATGACGAAAAGTGAGACTGAGAAAGTTTATGCTCTTTCGAAGTTAGCGGGGCAGTGTTCCGACACTGGAAGAAACAAAAAAGTTGTTCTGAAGCATTTTATTTGCGCAGATTCACTTGTTGTAAGAAGGGTAGTATTTGCTAGTCACGAACCGTAGTAAAAGACTTTTGTATTTAGTTGTCAGGAATAAAAATTTTACGTAACCACGTATAATATAGAGTAGTTGATGTATGTTAGATAATTCGCAACGCATTCGATCGAATTATGTGGTTCAGGCGACTTAAATAGGTTTCTATAAGCTTCGGTTTTAGACGATAATCTGTACGGGCTATTTATTTTTTATCTTGTTCACTAGTGAGTAATAGTAGAACCCCATATGGAACGAAATAATGTAATAACGAAGATTTTCAAAATATATATAGTTATAATCAATTGGTAAAAGTCAAAGAAAGTTAAATTTTCCGCAAAATGTTTTTGGTGTAACACAGTCCAACTATTGTAATATTCTATTCGTATAAGTAAGTTCCTAAATTTTCGTTCCTCCACCCAGGTTAATACCGTATCCAAGTGATAAATCATGCATCCCAAACCGTATACTAACATCAACTTGAATGAGCTCAAATATTAACAATTTTTCAATAGTACTTGAAACGTAAATAGGTATATCCAGTGATAATGTGTTGTCTTTGCGCCGACTACCTAAAGGCATCCGCTGTATAAATACTACAGTTGTTTGCCCAGTGTGCAAATGATTGTTACGTATACGTACATATTGCATTACTTACCGATATCGGCCCCGTCGAGTGCGTCGCCTTTAACCCCTGAACGAAAATCAAAGTTCCTATTGTTAATCTCCAGCTTTCTCACGCAGCCTATGAATGCCTTATCTGTTCTCAGACGTCCCTCAACCATCGTGATATTGGGCGACCCGCCCAGGTATAAATTGTCTCTGAAGGTGATACGCGAGAATAAGCCTTTGCTTCTTCCTTGGACCTGAAATATAACGACATTAGGTGCGCGACAACAAGAAGACGCATTGTGGATGAAGGTGTTAAATGAGCGCTATGGATCGCCGTCAAGGTAAGCCCGACCTGAACAAGTCAGCCAGAATGCGCGGGGTGATGGCAGCACAATTTTTAACAGTAGGTCTGTTTCTCAATGAGAAATGATATCACCGTATCACAGAAACGCCTAAGTTTCTACAAACGGGTAAGGATGTTATTGTTATTTTCATTTTAAACAAGGTTCTCTATATTTTCAAATACGCCCTTCTTATTGAACATAGATAGATCTCAGCAAACTCGTTTGCGCCCATCTGCAGAAAGCGATTCGTGCTTAGGAGAGCCAATTCGGTGTTTGGCAGCTGGCAGTAGGTAGTCGATTTTAAGGAAATAATATGGCCTGCCTGTCAGAAGCAGAACTGAACTCAAAGTCAGGTGGCTGTTCGAACGGAGTATGACGTTATCGGGACCGAGTTTTGGCCATCATTGTGCACCTTGTCCTCCAATTTGCTTGAGAGTTTTCCCTCTACCCGAAAGCCAATAGCGGCCACGAGCGCGTGTCATACAGCTGGGCCCCTTGGTAAAGCGGTTGCTAAATCCACTGGCCGTACTTCGGGGTTTGTGTGTGCGTCTCAGGAATACAACTTCACCTACCTGGTGGTCATTGTTAAGCTGCATCCAGGCGTCCCACCGATCACGATATATTGACAGTTTGTTCCAAGAGCTGAGCACGACCGGCTGATCGCTTCGAAGAATACCTTCGCCCATACCGCAATCAAACCTATCCGAGAGATGAGAGCCAGCCAGGGTGTTAGAGAGAGCTGTTAATACTTACCACTAACGATGATTACGACTCTTTTGGGTTTGCTATCTCTCTGGTCAATATTGAATTTCTAATTTAAATTAATACTGCGTCCTAGTACGTAATAATTTGGAATAAAATCTTTGTTTTGAAATTACACAACAACAAGTTAACAGAACCGATATGCAATAGTTCTATTTCAGTCAAAGATCCTTTCTCAGTTACCCTGAGGTCTTTATATTAAATAATATCTGACTGACTGTTACAGATTTGCATCAAATTATGGGAAATTCCGCGCGTTTGCGTAAGGGATAAATGTTATAGGTCGTTGATTAAAAAGTTCTGTTAAGTTGAATGAGAACAATGCGGGACCTCGATTATGAAACAAAATATTTCGAATACTGTCTTGCCAGCAAGTTACGGCGCCTGAAAATAGGTACGAACAGAGAGTGCTACCAGCGTATATGGCCGAAATTCCGTCAGTAGAATCGATTACGGGGACACGCAGTGCCTAAAGCTGCCACACATGAAGCTTCCTCGTCGATTGTTCATCGTAAGAACGGACTGTGAACCCATCTGGGTGAGGAGTTTGTAGTTCTTATGTACGCAGCTCTTATTCCGCAGAAGACATAATACAGCTAGCGCTCACATGCCGACTGCCCCTTCGTGCCTTTTCTCTAGGAATCGGCAGCACTTCGAGTTGCGTTTCTCGATATTCTTCACGGCCTTGTTCTAAGTTTCCAGACCCCTATACTCTCCACGCCTCCCTACCACAGTTGCCCGAAGTTGTTTTCGTGGCTGCGTTTACACGTACTAAAGCGCAAAGGAAAAACTGGAAGCGCATCCGTGGTCGTTGTGGGTAGCAACGGAGCGCCGTATCTGGGACGGCGGCGCGATTTAGCGTCTAGGAGACAGAGCGATAGAAAACAGGTGCTCGGCCGGACGGTCGAAATCATCCAAAGGTGTTAAGGTGAGAGGCGAATGCAAAATAGTAAGAAAAGATAAAACTACCCACAGGTTTAGATATTGCGCGGTGGGACTGAGCAACAAACGGAATATAGCGTAATCTTGGGGAAGAGAGCCCTTATAGATTTGCGTAGGAAAAGGACACCGACATTTCTAGCAAAGAGAGCATCCTTCAGAAAATCTTTAAGCGATCACGCACGAACCTGCTGCCTAGATGTCTCGTGCTATCCAAACGACTTGTGACAAGGCAAAACTCGATGTGTTCGTGTTGCTTAAATCGAATTCACTATAAATGCTGCGTAGAGACTTGTACCATTAATCACTATACATTTGTAACCTATTTATATATATAAATCTAGGGGCTGAACTAGATTTTGTGCTCAAATTTTATTTTTTAGTACTTTTTTTTTAGGAGAATTTTTAAGGACTCGCGCTCTGAGAAGACTATTTCTTTAAATTTACCTTTAAATTAGCGTTAAAATTACTCTGCATGAGACATTTGAATATTATCGGAAAGAATAACAATATCCACATGCAGTGCCAGGAGAGGCTGCCTCATATGCTGTTTGTTTTTCCAATAACAATGATTACTACCCAGGGGATAGTGTACCTTCGTTCAACTCTGGTTAATAGTTTAGAGAATACCGTTCAGTTGCTATAAACTGGTTTGATCGTTTTTAAAGAGGAAGTTAAGCAACTAAATGTCTAAGATAAACAGCTTTAGGCTTTTGATGAAAGTTACCTAACAGAAACTTGCTGGCCAACCGAGGATGACTCATAAGGCAATTTTGCATTGCTCGTGTACTCTGAGAATGATATTGCAAGCCGAAAAGTTAATTCTTCATTAAACAAATGCACAAACGTGCGATTGCACCCCACAGGATCGCTAAAAAAGAATTTTCGGTATCAAATGGTTAATGTTTATAAAAGATGCATCTTCCTTTCCAATAGCAGATGACAGTTTTGGCCCATAGGAACCATAAATTCTACCCGATAAACATGGACAAGCCACCTGATGAATATTTGTAATTATTTTGAGCTTGTATTGAGTTACCCACATAGTACTAGTGTACACTCAAGCATTGTCCAAAAACCCTGCAAATCTATCTGCGTGTCGAACATCTATCTCAATACAGAAAATACACCCTTCTGATAAATCCCAGAAAATCTTCTGCGATAATCCCAACATTACTCCACTAAGCTCGGGATTGCCGAATACACTCCTTACTCAGTCGCCAATCAAGAGAACACCTACAGTTGAAAAACTTAGCTTTAGAAATTTTATCTAGAAGCAAGATCCTTGTTGCTTAACTTAGGCAATTTTGTGCAGGAGCCTACGGCTGGTTGGTCAACCAAACGCTACTCTGAAAGACGTCAATGTCATTCAGGACACGGGCGAACCAGGGTCATATACACTTACAACACATTTAGCAGACCAGGTAGTAGGATAATTACATGCACTCGATATGTAAAGATAGCCCAGATAGCGCCTGGAGTATCAGAACACCACCTAAAACCGTGGCATACTGCCCTATAGATACGTATGTCTATCTATAGAGAAAGAGAGGCACTTACAGTTAGACGTCTCTTTATACCTCATTTTCAAGACTGTGTCAAAATAAAAATGAATATTTCAGCAATTTTTTTTACATATGCTGGAAGTGCTGTTCCTGCCAATCATTTTATTCAATGTCATCGTCAATCGTCGCGACTGCGGCTTCAATTCTGGTACTGAACAGCTCATAGGCTCGTCTTAAATGTACTCTACGGAATTTCCTGGACGCCTCCTATATGGCACGAGTATGCAAGACAAGATAAAATTTGTTGGCATTTCGCTCAGTAATACTCTATAGATAGCACACGACCGGTTTAGATCCGGAGTGGGTCATGTACTTATACTGGAACGTGTTTGTATTTCAAGCGGTCACTGATTGACTTATACGAACCGATGCACCATCATCTTATTGGAAGCAGGACAATTTTCCTTCAAACACTTCAGCTACTTACGATTGCACAATAGTTTGTACAGCATACAGATGAACTTGCTTACCGATGCGTTCGCTTTTCTGAAAGAGGCATGACAGCATGACGTCTCTCACACTGGACACTATAATAATGAGAACATGAACTAATATAATGAGAACATGAACTTCAGCTGAAGATGTGCTCCTATTCTAAGAGGCACAACTTCTCGCGATCGCGTTCGCACACTTCCTTCAGAACATTTTTCTTCAGAAAGAGCTGAGTACCAAACAATACAGGACGAATCTCTTGATTTTACTGTTCACAGAGAGCGTTTGGTTGATTTTTATAAAATATGACGGATACGTGCGGTTTTCGTGAACTATCCGTGCCGTCGTGCGTTCACTCAAATTTCTGCATCAACGCGTTGACGTAAATACAAGGATCGTCAGAAATCCTTCTTTGGGCGGGAGCGCCCTCGTTATTCCTTCTGCGACGTGGGTTTCTACTCTGCTAGAATCTCCTTGTGCTTTTTCTGCCACCGCATACTCATATACCCAACCCGATATGCTGTAGATTGAAAATGACCCAAATAATTTCAGTTGGGATTCGTCCAGGGCATAAATACTGTACTACAGCCAATCTTCGCTCAAGTTTCGAGACCGAGGCACCGTTGTTTGTCGTAATGAAATACTGTTTCGTTGTAGAATGAGGCGTTTTCGTTTAGCACGAGAAGAAGGAGATGAGCCTATATCTATATATATAACAAACAGCCCGTTAAGGCCTATCCCGATTTCGCTTATATATATGACACATATGAATGATACGTTTATAGCTTACTCACCATCCACTAGCAGTCAATCGACGCAATGGACAAGTTTGCCGTATGTCAGTATTTCGCTCTGATAAACTTAAATTTCAAGTCGATAGCCACTTAGCTCTATCTGCTACGTATAGACTACGTAACGGCTAACCAATGGCTAAAAAAGGCGAAAAGAATCAGTTAGTCATTTTTTTGCTTATGTGATGCGCGTTACGTCGTCGCAGCCACTGACAGCAGCATGAACCGCCAACGGCGCCATTGTAGGCGTGAATTAATACATGCATACACCATATAATAGCGCCTGCGCTCACGATTTGGATAGGCATTCAGGGCCAGACTGGTTGTCCGTCTTTACCTTAAATAAGATATGAGCGCCAACGACGTGTTAATGAATAAATTCATGGCGCCCCGCGGCTACTACCATTGCCGCAGCCTCGTTCCTATTAGCGTTCATTATGGACACGGAACAAACACTGCCTTGCTGACGATCAGAGTAGCTGCGAGTTGGTTACTGACCAGCTAAGCGAGGTTCCGCCTTAAGGTTTGCAGAAAAACTGTCGCTTAAAGGTAGAGAGTGGTCGTGGGAGGCTATTCTTTATCTCTTATTAGGAAATGAAGGCAAGCGCTGCAGGAAACTGTGAACACGTTCATCACGTGCGCTATTGAACGTGCTGCGGATCGTGATCCTTGCTTAAACGAAACTGAGCTAGGCCAAATGCGTGCTCACCTTCCCCATGGCTCGACAACGGGTTAAGCAGGCCTTAACGCTACAAAAGCCCGACAGCCCACGACGCCAATAAAGTAGTACACAGCAATTGATCCAGGACGGAAACGGAGCAATCTAAGATTATCCACAGACGCCTGCCGCGTTTTAGATGCGATGAGGGATGTATCTATGGACAATATCTGAGAAGAAAAAATAGATACTGACATGCGAACGCTATGGGCGAAGCGTTAACAGTAACACGAAAAAAGTTCAAGTGAGAAATTAGCTGCTCTTACTAATGGCGTATCCGGGCGGAGAGTTTCACTTTCGATATGGCTAGATAGACAATAAGACAAAAAAAAAAACAGCAAAGAAAGGCCAGTTTACCACTATTTTCATGCATAATTATGGCCACTGCTTTCAGATTATCTTGATAACAAAGTTGCTCGAGCTGGTAACTTCCGATTTCCGAACAATCTGGAGGGCAGGACAGCGAATTACATCGGGATAACTTTCGTCTTTCAGCTCTAAAAAATTGCAAATTTATTAGTGTAATATCCTCAGAGACAAAGCGGTGATAACGCAGTGAATTAATGTCACGAAAAACAGCAAACTTCGCCCCCTTTGAATTCACAAATGATCTAGCAGAAAAGAGTTCTCGACTGAACTCCATGAGTCATGTTAGACCATAATTCATTGAACTGAGGTTCCGAGTCCGCGAAGAGCAAAGACAATCTCAATTTAAGCAAACAACGTCAAAGGTCGAGCTAACCAAAGGGACTGGTTTTTGCCGATATCACTACGATCACGTTTGATACATACTGTTCCATTAAAAATTAACGTCTGTAAATCGTATCTTTGTCATGCAAAGACTAACTAATCTTATAGCATTAATAGCTTATTCCAATAAGGATCTTCTGTTACTTGTGCTGTGAGTTCATGGAAAACGGCATTACGTGCCATGATGCGTATACAGATGTCATGTATGAGACCATTTTGCCCACGTAGCCTTTAACGTGAATGAACTTAGGGCGCAGAAGGTGTTGGGGCTACATAGGCTAAGTTCCCTGAAAGCGACCGTAGAAAACAATTTGCTAGTCACGAAAAAAGAATTATCTAAAAAAGACTTCTACAAATGATTTATCTGTGACAATGTCTTTACGAAGAGAAAAATGCAAAATTTCTCAAGAAAAGTCCAATTAAATACACATCTTTAAACCATATGGTCCCAGAGCGAAATAACTCTACCGATCAGCGACAAACCTACTGAATCACTGGTGGTTTAGTGTAAAAATGTCACTCATACAACAAAACTGAGAGGAAAATTTTCCTTAACCAAAATAACGACGATGTTAGCTCGGGAGGCTCAGTAACCATTTAATATTAAGCTAGCTATTTTTCATTTAATTAAAACACACTTGTTTGTTACCATGGGTACTGATAAAAAAAAATAGAATTGTAAAACTAAGTTTCGAATGTTCAAGGTTTAGGCGTATCCTGGCATTGTATTTTGTTAAATATGTCAGACAATTATAACAATTTGAGTACCGCTTTCCAAAATCACTTTCACTACGCGTAGCTCTGCGTACCTATCGTGAAGATCTTGGCATAAGAGATACCCCATGTTTAAACTTGATCTATAATTGGCTGCTTTAGAAATATGGTCCACAAGCCGGCAATATTGTCCGACAAAGAAAAAGATGAACTAGCCCCAAAAATCTAACCCCTCAAAGTTGTGCTGGAAAAATATAAATTTCTGCTATATGTATACGTCTGAGAAACAGCGCACGTTTTACAGTCACCGATTTTAAAATCAGCGTTATTTTCCGTTAGAAAAATAACTAAATGACGTATATAGTTCTATGCCCATATGCAATTTAACCATCGCCTACTTCTAGGCATTTACATGTTAAATGGCAGTTTGGCGTTCTTTTTCTTGAGCCTGACTATCGATATCCGCGTACCTTATTTTTTTGACAAAAAAAAAATTGGAGATGTCAACAACACAGCGAAACATCTCGATACGTATCACACTTGGTGGTGCTTTCTAGTTTTTCCTAAATCTGTTTTTAGTAAACACCGAAACAGCGGCGGTGGTGGCTAGCAGAAATCGTACCAACAACGATATCAACCGAAAATAACATTGTTAAATCCCCCCACTCTACAGATGTAGTTACTTAACGATCTCATCTTTTATACATTTATGGCACCGCGGTTTTTCGGTCCGCTATTGGCATCCAGTGAATTTCTTTGAAATTCTTTGGCCCTCTTCATCTCACCGTTGGACTTCTCTGCATTTCTGCCGCTGTTCCAGTAACTGTGGGACTGGGGCTGGGAAGCAGGTCTCGCTGCCTGGCGTTCTCTATCTGGCGTCGCTGTCTAGCTGTAACACCGTTGTCACAGGGTAACAAAAGCATAACAGGAGATAAGATTATGTTGCGGCGGCTATTAGTATCATGATCACAGTAACGATGGCCAGGGCCGCGGTAGTAATTCAGTCAGCGTCAACAAGCTCTCCACTCGGGTACAGACAGTTTTATATTCCGTTCAAGCCCCACAGTGGTAATATATGATCACTACATCGCTCCGCTTTTGTGCTTGGCAGTTTCGTATCGCATTTAGAACGGCTTGTTTTTCTCCTTTTAGTTCGTGATCTTTAGATACAAACAACTGCTCTCAACAAACGCTAAGCCTTTACGGGCAATATTGCGATCTCCTTTTAGGGCTCCGCTCAATATCACTCTTCGCTGCCTGCCAACGGAACAGTGATGGTGCCTCGCTCTTTGCTAAGCCTCCATAATCTATTCGTGTCTTTGTGATACGTATGTAGATATAAGCCCCTCCGTAATAAGTACTCGCTAAGTTTGATGCGTAGACTTTTGCTGTAAACGTCTAGTGCAGGTATTTCGTTCTCTTTTTTTGTCACGATACTGATAAAGGAAACGAGTTAGATAGGGAAGAGGAATGGTCTCTTGCGTCTGCTCTATTGAGCCCCTTTGCCCGCTGTAACGCAGTCGGTGTGAAGGTCTACGGCGTAACCTCCGTAGATTGTAGCCGTCACCGTTGCCGTCGCGAATGCGTCAAGTTGTCGCAGCCCAAACAACAACCTGTTATCGATGCACTGTACAGAGCCCAAAAAAGCAGTACGGCCCAACAAAAGTGCCTTATATATATATATATATATATATATATATATATATATATATATACTTGTATACGTATAGGGACATACAGAGAATGCGCGGGAAGCGATCAAACAAAATACTGGACTCTGGACGCAGAGTCCATCAGCTCTCCAGAGACGCCAGACTCCAGTCCTCTAGTGCTGTGGAGTGACTACGCACCATAACTCGGTACGAAAACGGAACGATCGTAGTTCTAGCGTAAGTATTGTAATTTTTGAAATTGTCGTTCGATCCCTGGGGCAATGCCTCCGATTTGGTCATTCAAATTCTCTCTGTTTGAGATCATTGATGAGCTGTACATTGATGGAGGCGTTTTTTCGACGTCGCGAAGAGTGTCTACCTGCCTATTAAAAAAAAAAACCAGTCGGTTCAACGGTAACAAAATAGGCAAATGGCGACAAGAAAAACGAGCCCTGTAGACTAGTCTATCGTATCGCGAGATCTGGTTGTCTTGCACAGACGATTTCGAACGTGGTATCGCGTCACCACTACAGTCGTTATTTTCTCCGTTTGTTTAGCTCTTGTTATGCTGTTAGCGTAGCTAGCTAATAGATTTTGGCTTTGGGTTCGTAGGTGGGCGGCATTTTCCATAACATTAGCGGTGTCCGCATGAGTATCACCATCATCGCGTTTCGTTGGATTTCGCTATCGCTAATAGTTGAAAATTCGCTCGCTGGTCTGCGATCTGATCGCCGACAATGATGTGCGTACGTAACAGGCAAATACTGTTGTAGATCATCTCATTTCGTGCCCTTCGCTAATCCTGCTGGCTATAGCCACTTAGATCGCTGGATACGATGGCTGCGTTCAAGTGGACCGAAAGTGCCATCTCGTCCAGCTAAGCTGCGCCGCGTGAGCTATCGTCGGGAGCCCCAGCAACCGTCAAACCCAACTGGGTTATTAGAAATGCTAGTTCACGTTCTACACGATAGCATTAGGCTGCCTACTTGTAATGGTTAGCCATAGCGTAGCCAGCAGCTGTCAACGAGTGAGGCAAACATTAGCTGCTCAATGAGAATATGATATGGATGACAGATAAATCTTCAATTCGAACAGTAAGGTAATGCTGTTCGCTCACCGAAATCGTTCGAAACATTATTGCTCGATACGATTCCAAGTAGTGGTAATACCACTGCATCTTACCGGTCTACTGTCTCCCTTCTAATTCTCAATGGCGCAGCACTAATCGGCCACCAGAACTGCAGGACTTGTCCATTTGCATTATGTTTGTTTATTGACATAACGATCATCTGTATTCGGTGCTCTGTTAGCGCAATTGCGAGTTCTTCACTCGACCCGGCCAAATTTTCGCCAAGTGATCCCGTTCTTGGTTCGAGTTTTTTGTGGCGTGCTGTTTTTTGCGCACGTTGTCAGCTTGTTACGCGGTGACAGCGATGTGATCTAGCTCAGGCTGAAAGTCGTTGGCCCGCCTGGGCCACCTTTACTGCTGCTTTTTTTGTATGACTTCCTTATGTAATGATGTCTTCATTTATACAAACACTCGCTAGTTGCAATGTTGTTAGCCTAAGAGGTTCTTCTTCTTTGTTTCCAGTGCATCAACGGCGACAACCTAGCGATAACGTCGGCAAATCACTCCTATGAACACCCGCATTCTAATGAAAGCAGTTGCTGGCTGTTGGTGATGCTGTGAAAGCCGAGGTGATTGCTGGTGCCTCTTTTTGTAACAATGGTAAGGGGTGCATGTTGATGACATCGCTTCATTTGTGACACATTACGTTATATATATATAGAGGATATGAAATAGATGTGGAATATTATGTGACGAAGAGCGGCGCAAATGCATGCAAAACGCACTACTTATTATTAAGTTTTGGGGCCGACCGTAAACCGCCGTAACGTTGGGGTGGTCGAACGGATCGAAACCGACACTGTTCTAGTTTGGATCGGACGACAGGTTGGATATGAGTGTACGACCGTGGTCGAAAGCCCTACCGAATGAAACAATGCAGCTGGGCTAGGCGGTCAGAGTGGAACAGATGTTGGCATGACCTCGAGATAAATAAGCTGGACGAGGTCAATAGAATTTGAAAACAGGACATGACCGGTCAGTTTAAAATACAGCCGGTGGATGCTCCTTCAAAGTCTCTTCTTGATTTGTTTCAGGAGCGCGGCGCACCGTCTTAAGAATAAGTTTTGGGGGTTGTTGCTGGGACTGGACTGGTTCCCGTCTCTGGCCCAAATTAGTAGTGCGAGTTATACAGCAGAGAACGAAATACGAAGTCGAAATGTATATCTACAATCGTTTTAATTAAACGTACAGCCTACCTCGATTATTTATCTAGTTATATATTGTCAGGATGTGAATTATAATTGTGGCTATGGCAACATGAGAAATGCGTCATTATTTAGCTTCGTTGCAGAACATTTGTAATGATCATAGCGCCGTGTCGCAATTATATAATCAAAGTGTTGGAAAACAAGAAGCTTTACACTGGCCATTCGTTCGACTTGTAACATTTCTTTTAGGTAAGCAATATTGCTTTTAATTAGTCTGCTAGTTCCCGGCATATCTGGCATTTAGGACCTTTCTGCAGCCTAGAGTTCCCCGTTGAACAGCACTTCGCGTCAAAATGTCAAGATTCAGATTTACTCTCCAAAGACATTCTCAAGTCCCGAAAATCGCTAGCGTCTCTTCCGTAGATACGATTTGCGTCTCACGTAGATGTTGTGGGCTCTTCCTCTCGCCTGCGCTCTTACTCTATATTTTTTTATTTTAACCAAAATATTTCCATCTTATCTGGACATTGTTTCAGGAGCCTGGGCGCTCGATAGTAAGCTTGGCCGAATACGGTCTCAAGAATAAAACTGCACTCGTCACAGGTGCAGGCAGTGGGATTGGTTACGTCATCTGCAAACAGCTGTATAAAGCGGGTGCTCATGTAAGTTTTCATCTTCACTAAACACGGGGATGACAATTGTGCGGCCACATAGACCGTTCCTACGTCTGCAGAAAGTACCCGACTTCACGATGTGCCCCACGTTCCGAACAAATACAAGTTTGGCCAATTTCCATTTGTTCTTATTACATATCCCGGGGCGCCTGCAAGTTGACGGTATCTGTCCAGGCAGAATCCACTGAATAACAGCTCACGTAAACATGGTGAACCACCTCGAGCCAGTTCGATGTTTCCTCTCGTTAAGGTCCTTACGACCTCATGAGCCAGGCGACGGTCGACCGGATCTACGACAGAAAACGAACAAGAACTGGGTCTCGGCTAACAGCTTTCCAAACAGCTCGGTTCTACTTAGGCGATAGGTAAAATACATGCATGCGTGTAACGTTAATAACGTGATTGGTTTACCTGAATAACCAGGAGACAACAAAAGCCACGTAAGATGTGTTACATAACGTTCAACCGGATGGTAATGGATAGATTACCTAGTTATAATCCATTTAACTGTGATTTTTACCTATTAAGCGTCCCTTTTTCTCCCTCATGTTCTCTGGCATAGGTAATCGCGGTGTCGAGAACGCTCGAACATCTCGAGAAGTTAAAACAGGAATGTCAGGAAATTCAAATTATATGTTGTAACTTAACGGATTGGGAAGCTACCGAGCACGCACTTAAGTATACCAAGGCCGATCTGGTCGTTAATAATGCGGGAGTCGCCCTGTTGGAGCCTGTTGGCCACATCACCGAATCGGCATTTAATAAAACTTTCAACCTAAACACCAAAGGTAGCTACAGAACTTTGCTTGATCTTACAGGAAGCAAATAGATATTTGCCTTGGTTTATGTAAGTGGGCATTTAAATATTGTGTGTGGGATATATATCTTTCCTTTCGGGCCCGTATTGAAATGTATATAATTCCGAACTCTGACAAGTCCTATTTGTCAGAGTTCGAAATAAGATTTATATATATAAAAGTTTTCAGCTCAATATTGGGATCATATTATAAACGGCAGTGCTTACGTTGTTTTGCATATTTCATCACTCAGAAGATCATTTCCGTCAGGCTCGAAAGAAGGCATAAAATTTTCAATAAATTCGTAACTGTTAAAATGCGAAGTCATATAGTTTATTTAAACGCCGTAATTGTATAAACTCTACCTACCGGGGAACCTTACAGAAAGAAATTAGTGATACCGATTTGCACAAACTTTTCCTTAAGTAACTTGTTTTAAATGCTCAATTACAGATGGCACAGTCTCATTAGAACTACGCTTTTTTTTTTCATTTTAACTATAGACTATCTACTAGCGTGTCTTTTTCTAGCGGGGTTTAAAAAAAGTAGAGGAAAAACAACCGTCCGATGAAAGCTACTATACAAAGTCAGAACTTTACGTTAGCTTACTACCGTGAAGGACCGCGTAGAATAGTTAGATCTAACTATTCTATCTAGTTAGATCTAACTAAATGTTTGTTTCAAGTTAGATCTAACTTGAAACAAACATTTCATACGTCAACATTACAAATCATTATGATAATATTTTTTATTTATATTTTTTAAGTACTTCATTTTGAGGAACTGAGTTCCTCGACGTCCATACAGGCAAATAAAGCATACCTTTTTCATTCATTCGGTAAAAAAACAGCTTTAACATCCCAATTGAAATCCCCTATTACAATTCCAAGCACTTTGGTTCATCCATTCACCTTCAATATGACGTAACTACTGGGAAAAAAGCCTACTCTCCCCTCGGGTTTTCTTTAGTCTTTCTCTTCTCTAATAATTGTATTATCTTTTCAATTTTGTTGCCATAAAGAAACTATTTAAATTGACTGAAGAACGCAACAAATTAATAGTAAACATTTTTTACTCTAATATACATAAAACTCGTCCAGCTCGACCTGCCATTTTTTCTCACGTTCTCTCTGTCTGTTTTCGGTTCTAAGGGCTTTACCTTTTTTGGTTAACAGGCGACCGTAGATAACTGCGTCTGTGTCGTTTTGCTGGTTGGCAAGCAGCCGTTCAGACAACCTGTACGCAAGTTTTCTTCTCTTACTGAAATAAACGACGTATCAGTTGCCAAACTCAGTCGACCATCGTCCTGGAGCTATTGCTCGATAGTCGTGGCTGATCCTTTTCCACCAACATTTTCCCTCTACGGGTGGAGTGAACAGGGTCAAAAGAACAGTTCAATGCACTCGATTAAGAGGCGGAACGGATCGGCAAAAGGCAGAGTCTGTAGGCCACCTGAGCTGCATAAGCCTGCGAGCTGACATGCTAGTCTTCTGCGTTCTTTTCTAGTTCGATATACGGTAGCCACTCCATGACTTTGTACACCGCTCCGTTGCTGCCACGTCGCCACCGACAGCGCTATTGCTGTCGATGTGCTTCGAAGTGGTCGCTACTTCTAGGTCTTTACCTTCTCTGAGTTTTCCCTAGTGCAACGATGTTACTACGACGCCCTGAGTCGCTTCTGCACCGTAAATAATATTGACTTTGTTTTCTTTTGTCGAACATCCGTAGTCCGTCTGGCTGCCGTCTATTGAATTCGGTAGTACTTCCTAGCATCGACCAGCTGAGTGCTGTGCACCAGAGCCTCCCTTCTGCGTGGCTTACCTTTTCCGACTACCCGGTTGTCCGACGCCGCCACGCTAGCTCAGACGAGACCAGCCCCCATTTTTCGCTCCGCTCTTTGTGACTGATAGGCGCCTGCTCTTCCGTGCAATGTCGTGAAGTAGTATCGCGTAGGGTCATTGACTGGTGTTGTCGTGTAGCCAATACCAGTATCGTATCCCTTCTGCGCTCTGGGACTACTCGCAGAAAGATAGCTGTAGCGCTAGTATGATCAATAATAGTACGAGTTCTAATGGTATTAGTGGGGTGTGGAAGTTGCGACAAAACGCAGTAGAGCGGTGAATCGGTCATTGGGTATAGTCGCTTTCAAGGAGCTGCAGTAGCACTTGTAGAAAGGGGCGATCAAACGCTGAGTGGCGGTTGGCAGACAGAACCTGGAGAACGAGGGAAAATTGGCCAAGAAACTCATCCCAGCCGGCAACCTCGCAACTGACATCGTATCCTTTACTTTTTTGCCTCTGCATCCCATCTTCCCTACGGCAGACCTTCTTCCTCTCCAGTAAAAAAACCTCAGCTTCTATTCCTTTGCTTGTTCCTGTTAGCCAGGCAGCAAAGTTGTGTCAGGAGATTCGCAAGCTTGGCGGACCTTCTGCCAGGATGGGATCACTTTCCAATGAAAGATGGTTTCCCTTCTATGAAAATCGAACACGACGCTGGTAGCAGTCGCCTGCTGCTGTTGCCTAACAGATAGTACAATATGAACCAACGTAGCATTTGGCCGCAGCAGGGGCGGCAGGCGCCTGGCCGTCGGCAAGTGCCTTCACAATGTTCAGCGTTCTTCGTTGCCGTCATCGTCATCCTCGTTGTCGCCGTGAGCGTTCGATGTCGCATCATGTCCTGGACCACCCATCTCATACGATACATGTACGGAGGATATCGATCGACGTCAAGCAGACGGATGGGCATATAGGTGGCCGAAGGAGGGAGCGCAAATTGGGTTCAGTGTATGCGCAGCCTAACTATATTTCGGTGTAGAGCAATTTTTCTTGTTGACCGAAACGTGGAAAAATGAGCATAGTTCGGGGTGATCATCCGATCGGAGGAAAGTGATGGGAGTCAACCAACAACAAGAATTCGAATATAGTCGACCTAAGAGCAAGAAGCAACTGATGAAAATGAATAATCGTTAAATTGAGATCGATAACTAGAACAATGAAAATAATCTTCATCCGTCAGAGCGTTACAAATATTGAGATGTTCAAACCTTAGCCTCAAGGTTTAGGTTATCTAGGCGGAGAATTTTAATTGAGAATAGGCTGACTAGCGCTAATGTTCTCATCTTGATGGTTTATTGCAGCGGCGATCAATGTTATCCAGTGTTGTTTACCGCATATGAAGTCGAACAAACACGGAGCCATCGTCAATATATCTTCGCAAGCAGGAATAAGTGCTATTCAAGATCATGCGGTATATGCAGCTTCGAAGGCCGCCCTAGATCAGCTGACACGGGTATTCGCTCTGGAGCTTGGACAATATAACATTCGAGTGAATTCTGTAAATCCTACGGTTACACTCACTCCCATGTCGCAAGTAAGTGTTTTCGGCGTGGAAGTATCGAAGTGTCTGAATGTGTGGATTAACACATCTATATCTCAAACAGACAAGTGTATGATAGAATCGATTCGCAACGATCTGGAAATAGGTATATATAAATAAACCAGCTATATGACTGTTTTCGTTACTTCGATATGAACCCATGATGTGATAATAAGGTCCTGCCTCTTAGGACCTTGGGCCTCAACCAGCATACAGAGGCTAGATGAAAACGGGTTTCTTTCTAGCTCCGGTGGCGCTAGTACAGGGATTGGCTAGCAAAAGGGCATAAGCATAAAGCGATGGAAATTCCTAACGTCCTTGCTACAACGGATGCCCCTTCCTTGGCTGCACCAACTAGACAACTCAGTACCCTTCCTTTTTTACTTTTGTAACATTTTACGACCCCGCGACATATTAGCGAGTCGTTTGCTTCCCGCGGCTCTCTCAATGTTTTTTGTTGCTGGTACTATTCCGACAAGCTTAGTACGAGACTGGTACAGTTTTTTTTTAAATATCCGTCGCAGAAGGTTCTGGAGGTCTATTAGACCAAGTCGCTACTTTTATACATGCTGCTTTTATTCTTCCTTATCCTTGCCCTTGGCTGACAGAAATCGACCGCTAAAGCTAGCTTACCTGCCACGACTAAAGGCTTTTTCGTCCTGCTTGTCTAATTTAGGTTGGCTGGTCGGATCCGGCAAAAGCTAAAGGAATGAAAGACAAGATTCCGCTAGGACGGTTTGCGACGCCCGAGGATGTAACAGATGCTGTCCTGTATTTGCTTTCTGATAAGTCAGCCATGATCACGGGTACTATATTACCAATTGATGGTGGTTTTACTGCTTGCTAGCCCTAACAGCTCTGTATGAGCAAGACGTTGATATTATTCCTTTCGTTGGTGCTCCGTAATATGGATCTGTCGGATTTATCGTATATTAACAAAAATAAGTAAATATCAAATAAACTATAGACATTTGTGCTAATACGTGATTTGTTCATTCCGCACACTTTTCAATACTTAGATATTTTGTAAAATGGTATATTTCAGATGTTCAGTCTCCTTTTCCCGCACGCGGTGCCTAGCTAAGTTCAATGTTGCAAAGTGCTCACTCCCTTTCATGAGCCCGTTGTACTGTGAGTAACGTTTTTATTTCCAGCTCAGGCTTCAAATATAAGTATTTTCTTAATGAAAAATAATCGGTTTCATAACTAAATATTGTTTCGTCTTTACCGGGGGGTCAAGCGGCTATCGAAACAGTCTGGAGCATTTGTGCCATGCCCCCCGAGCATACCATGCCCCAGAAACACGGTCAGAAATTTTTTTTTAGCAAATTCAAATTACAACTTGGGCCTGGAAGATGCTTCTTACCCTGCTCGCCAAACCGAAGTTGACGTGAAAGCTCGCCTAATAAAAGAGAAACCTTAAGGAAACACCCTGTAAATATTAAGAAAAAAAAACGACTTGTATCTATATAACTATCAACTAATAAAATAGTTGAGCAAACATTTGTTTTCAATGACGAATTATATCCACATGTCGTTATAGATATTTCTTTATATATATATATATATATACATATCTACGCAGATATTTCTTTATAACTGTGTGGCTCACCGAAACTCGACGAATCCTTCGACAAGCAAAATAGCTACGTAATCGCCTTGAAGATTGGCCTGTTCGCCGCTGTACAGAAGCAAGGCATTATGCGTTTCGGGTTTAAATTCTAACGAAATTTGCATCGATCGGTGGGCGTCACGCAGCGTCGGCAAAACGATGTACGAATTACCACTGAAGCTCGGGTACTTCACGTCCATTTCTGAAAAGAAAAAAATCGACAGATACGACAATCGAGAGCATACTTTCAAAGAAAGCAAACAAGAGTTGAAGAGCCATATCGAAGCGGACGACTGAACCAATGAATGAACCGATTTCATGGAATAAATACAGGTTGCTATTCGCATTCGTTCAGCCTAGTCAGTAAATTGCACCGTATTATTTGTTGCCAATATGCGTACGTTTGTCAGCTACGGTAAAGAAAAATGGAGATGAGCGCCAGCCCCCGTTAGTGTTGTGAGAAAGGCCGAGCTGTGAATGTACCTTCGTTGCAGTAAGGACCGGCGAAGCCGAGTTTGCAGTTGCAGCGTACGCCGCCTTCCGCCTGCGTGGCGACACACTGTCCCCCATTCTGGCAGCTGAGTTGGTCGCAACTCCAGAACGCCACGTAATCATCGTCGTAATCGTCGTCAACTTCCCGCGAAGCTCCGGGGCCACCGCCATCGTCTCCATCGGTCTCCGCGCAGCCGGTTGTCTACCCACACCGACAGTGAGAAACAGAAACAACCGAGAGCGGTTAAAACACAAATAGAAGTAAGAACTAAAATAGTAAGTATAATACGATTACTATAATAATAATAATAAAATCATTATTAATACCACTATTAAATAAACACAAATAAACAGAAAAATCATATTTAGCAGTTAGACAACAAAACAACGGCAACTGCTCAATTGACAAACGATGGTAGATCCACAGTAATCACAAAAATGTCGCTATGCTATTTTTTTTCTAAATGTTAGAAGCATATATATAGTAGTTTCAGAAATATGCATCGATGTACATTCTAATGACTCTTTCTAATCGGTTCCCATAGTGTTGTAGCTTTTTCTTTTTCCCCCAATTTTTTATACGTGCGGTACGACGCCCTAAAATCATTCCCCTCCTGTTTCCTTGCTACTTGCCTCCCCCTGCAAGAATAACATTAATCAGACATGTCTGAATGTATTCAGGATCAGCGTTACGGGAACGCGACCCAGCCCTAGCAGTAGCGATAGAAGCAATTGACAAAACGAAGTCTACCGCCACTGTTATAGAAATAGAAAGAGAACTATAAAGGTACACCGCGGCGATTCTACGATAGGAAGTCATGCAATCCTATACCAGGCCTACGACAACTTACAAGCAAACCCGTCACTAGCTGCTGCCACTCCCAGCTACGCAAGTAGGCACCAACGCTTATTTATCTCCCAGGGAGATGGCGACTTTAATCTTAACACATTAGCGAGTTATTTACCGACAAGCTGACTCGGTTGTGAACACCATGCTTCATCGTATGGTGCAGTCAGCGCGAACGATGGGGAATGACAGGATGGAGTGCTTTAGAGAAAGCCGAACGGCTGTTCAACCCACGAATATAAACTACCTGCGCGAGCCACGATTCTCGCAAGGGTGTAAGTATGCGAGGTTTGGAGACCTGGGAGTTCCTGGAATGTTAAAGATGGAAATGGATGCTTTGCACTCAGCTACGCATGTTTATATGACGAGGTGGCTGAGTTTTGACTGCAGGCTTTGGAACAAACCAGTTGGAAACCACGATCGACATCTTCATAGTTCGGACCTCGTTATGTTCCGATAGTTCTACGACCACTGTAGCATCTATCAGCGAAGCTCAGCATACACAGAGCACTTAAGTCGAGTTAGGTCGAGCGGTTTGGCAAGTGCTGCCACCTTCTGTTGTGGAAAAGCGATTCGTCCGAAATGCTACCTAGTAAGCACGGCAAACGTAGAGCTTTGCTGTGCCATATATATATATATATATATATATATATATTGCTTATATGAGCCTTAAACCCCCTTTAAGTGGCCATTCGCCTGGTTCCTGATAAGCGAATGGATAAAAAAAAAATAAGCAATTCGATTCTCTTGGTTAAGTAAATAATCAAGTTTTGCTCGTTCCTGATCATACGCTACGATCGTGGTGATTCTATGATGTCTGAAATTTAACAATGTATTTATTTAAGACAAAATAAAACAAAAGAAGTCGACGATTATCGGTATAGAAAGATGGAACAACGCCGAAATGTAATCCGTGACGCACTTTACGATACGACTGACAGACATAACTGCTTATTGTAAAAATATTTACTTTCGAACATAGGTAGCACCCTGTAACAACAAAAGTAACAGGGCATTTTCATGTGTAACACATAAGTTTATGGAATGGTAAGTTTATTCACTATTCAAATGTTTTTATCGCCTTGGGGTCGCACCAATAGACAGATCAGTACTACACAAGGCGTGTAGATAAAAACCAAAAAGTTACCTTGTTCTGAAACAGGGTCATATGAATAATTTACGAAGCCCTTATTCTAGATGTAAGTGCCAAAAAAGCTTCTTATACGAAACTGTGCAATACACAACTTCATATTCAGTGATGTTTTTCCAGCACTCAGTGCAACGCTTCCATCCCGATGACGGTGCCACCCACGTAAACAACAAGCCATCATATATATTTATTTGCTATGAGTTATTTAACATCAGACCATTCGCTTGGTGCCGTTGAATAGAGGCCATTCGTTAGGATTCTTTATTGATATATCTTTACTGAGGTAACGAAAAGGCTAAAGCCTTTTCGTTTCAAAATAAACAGATCCCGTTATGCCACAGGATGTGTATTCGTGTGTGTGATCAGACGAACAATTTTGATTCTGACCTGATCCGTTGTCGACGCTGCAGTGGCCGTCGTTGTCGCTGCTAGGGTATTCATATTAATATTATTAAGGGCTAGGTTCTCTGGCGTTCCGCTTGGTGGAGTCCCGGTCGTTGCTTCCTCTGTTGAACTCGCATTCGAACTCGAATTAGTCTCAGCTGAAAATCACAGAATGAATAAAAGTCAGCTTCTCTGAGTGAACTGTTTATTTATCCGACGGTGTATTCCTAATGCTAGATAAATTGTCTCGATTAGGAGTCGGCCATATGTTCTAGGCAGTAGGGCAAATTTGCATTGTCCATAGTGTAATACTGATTGATTTAGGAAGAGTCGTCATACTCACTTTCGTTAAAGTTAACTTCGCAGTGAACTAATAATAGTGATAATAATAACAAACAATAAAACTTGATTGAAATAAAAAAAAAATCAATGTTCGAACTGAAAACCTCAGGTATACTCTGTGAATATGGTGCACATTTCAACCGTTAACGTTGAGATATGCGCGTGGATACCGTTTATACTTAAGCATCTATACATTTACCTTGTTCATACGTTCATATCACGACATTTACTATTTGCAGTGTAAATCATTTAGGTTTAAGTGACCCCGTCTGCGTATGCGTTGTTTGGGATTGACAATTAGACCTGACAGCTAGTTCAATAATCTCCAAAATATTCACACAATCGTACTCGAGGATATCGTACTAAAAAAAAAAAAAAAAAAAAAACTTATTTATGAGCTCGTGTTGTCAATTTCATAGTTCACTCAATAGTTCAACCAGGGAGCTTTTTAATATGAATACCTTGTTTTTAACATCTCGAGCACAATATGCAGCTTTTTAGCTTCAATGGTTGTGGAAGATGCCCTCGGCTAAGCAACAAATAGCATAAAATAAGATTTTCGCCTTAAACGTTTCGTTCATTTGATCGAGTATCGTTAAGGTTGATGCTATCGTTATTTGCTAGCAAGTTTCCTCTTATATCGTACGGGATACACGGCACTCTAATAGTGTTTATTGTTGGTGAAAGAACAGACATTAAAGAGAAAGATCGTGTCAACGCTTCGGCTCAAGGATGTTTTCTACCAATATCCGAACAATGTAGTGCGCTAGAAGACGCGAAATAGAAGATATTGGTAGAACCGCAACAGAAGCAGAGTCTTAAATTAATGCCCTTTCATTAATGCGCGATCCACAACTGCCAATAGCAACCTAGTAATACCAACAAGCGGCCGAATGCAGAAACCAGCAGCTGCAGGTTATAATGGTACTCAGCGGTGCGACGTTACACTGATACTATTGTCGATTCACCATGTTCAAGCTGACGGTGTGCAGATAAGGGAAGTTCCATTCATTTTCCCAGTGCAAAAGCAGCCCATCTTGACATACCATCGGACAACTTTCCAGTAAATAACTAAGGCTTGAGAAATTTTTCTCATGATGGCATGGCGAGAATCTCAATGACCGCCGATTAACCAGCGACTTCCAGAAACTAGGCTCTCAGTTTTCTTCACGATGGGATTCTTCGATCTTACAACCAACGCACCCTCTATGCCACCGAGGCTTAGAGTATCGCTGGTATTGTTGTCAGCTCTGTATCGCCTCTGTTCAGCCGACTCAATCCTTTACATGGACCTGGCACAGACTCTCATCGACCGGATCTATGGATCCGAAAGACGACAAATCTAGCCGTTACGACAAGTCGCAAACGAGATCTCGCCTCAACAACCTGGACAATGATCAGTTTCTACAGGGCTGAAAAATGAGTAAAGGGGGATCAAATCCAGAATAGTTTCCGAGTAATGCTCTATCTGGAATAATAACGAAGACAGGAGACAAACATCGATTCAGAAGATCATACACAAACGCTATCAACGCCGTAGCGCTCTTTTATCAAACTACTGTTTCCATCCAGCAGTGGTTCCATCTGCTTGGAGAGTGCCAACTAACACCACGAGTTGTGACGCAGACCACAAGGTTACCCATATCCAAACAAAAGCCACCAGATAGCTTGCCAATGGCGTATGACCATTCTATTCGTTGTTTGGCAAAATGGTTAGAGACAACTTATTCTATTGCAAGATGTATTCGGCACAGTTATGCATCGTTGTCGACGGCGCAACTTACAGAGTCTTCAATAGTACTGGATCATGTTCTTAGTCGGGGGGAAACAGAACAAAGTAATTGATCTAAACATGAATATTTTAATTTTATATGACGATTAATAGCAAGGAAGTGAGCCGGTAAAAATATTTAAGCGACAACTCAAAACTGTCTATTAACGCCTTTATTTCTCTATGGTGCATATAGCGAGGCATCGCTTAAGAAGGTATGTCGTACGTGTTTTTCGTATAAATTACGGCCGGAATATATAACGGAGAAGGCAAAAAAGCCAACAGAAACTTGGGGAAATTGCCATTAAAAAAGCTCAAATGATTGCGCCGAGTAAATTTTCGACAGTACGGTTAGTCGCTAAGCTATTAAGCACAATGAAAATCTTTATCAAACTTCAGTGAAAAATTGAACTTTAGGGCTGGAAAAGGAAAGACTCACGACGATGGCAGTCGTGAGAATTTGAAGCATAAGCGCTTTGTTGAATTTAAGAAAGGAGGTTCATGTTTTATAAACGTAAGCCGTCTTTAAGCACGAGGCTTGATGGCCAGTTGGCTTGCATCATATTTTGAGAGAAAGGTGATGAGATGAAACAGTTAGCTGAGCTTTGTAATTCTATTAGAAGAGCAAGCCTGACGAGCCTTGGAAGAAGGCCAACATGTGCAATTTCTATCTGGTTCTCCGAATATTTATTCCTGAATTCGGTACAAGCCAACTGTTCGTCGTTGAAATGACGAAATTTGGCAATATGTCTGTAAAACACGTGCGTCACTTTTCGTTAATGCTCCAGTCATTTTTAGAGCACTGCCATTTACGTTACTCATTCGAAGTTTGAAATAGCTCGCATGGTTTGTCGAGGTCTATGTTTCAAATTGCCCTATAGTTAAACGCAGCGATATACTTTCACTTGAAGCTGTAATGTAAGCTATACGCGACGTTGTTTCTTTTTTTTTTTGCTTCTTCCTCCACGATTACGGCGCTGTACTACTGAGTATATATCATCTAGTCCCTGTTCTTCCTGCATCCTATCGCCCGTATATATCGCAGTAATTAAGTTTAAATAAAAAACGAAGATGAAGAATGAATAAATAAATAAAAAACAAGTAATTAGTACAAAATTGCAAGTAACTGTCCATTCGACTTCATTTGTCATAGTGGCTAATGCTTTCGGAGGTTACTGGAGACATGAAATAAATCCAAAGGCATTACCGGCAACGATTTACAATAAAAACATCTATAAAAAGCGGCTAGGAAGCCACTGTCAAGCTCTTATACCGTACAGTATTATACGTAAAGCATAATGTGTGATATCGGTACTTGCCATTGGCAATAGGCGTACATATGCTTCTAAGGCGATACTAAATGTAGTTTTCAATGATGCTTAGTTTTTCTCTCACTATAATTTTAACTCTCAAAAGCAATGTCATCCATTTACCCTTTGCTTGTTATTTTTAGATCATCTGCTATGTTGCTAGTACACAATGTAGCACGAGCAGAGTTATCTAAAAAAAGGACGGCCAATTTGTCTGCCTTCCGCCTTTTTGTTCCTTCTCTTCGTCTGCAAAAAACACGTCATCTTAGAATATACGTATTCGACATATTCAACAGGCGGCCAACCACACAAGCAATTAACCAACCAACACAGCTGGCTGGCACTAAGCCCAACTAAGGCGTATGGAATCGAATGGGATGCTTCAGTAAAAGCCACTTTACGGCCCGCCCTGGTCTTGCCATGACGTTCTCTCCCATCGACTGAAGCCAATGCCGCTGCTGCTGCTGCTACTACTGAAGCGGTTTCCGTTCCTATAAGGAAAACCACAAATTCGAGCGAAAAAGAAACAACCTTGAGTAAAAACCTGACGTGACTAGAACGCCTCGGAAATCTCTTCCCGTCCTCTTATTTTAGAACAAGACAGAACTAATGAGGGAGTGAAGACGTTGTTCGCTGTTTCGTCCACAATCGGTCATTCGATGCCGGCAACGTCACCCCAGACCATGACTGGCTTTGCCGACCGGTTACGAGCTCCGGTCGCAGAGAGACAACTAATAGCAACACTGCCCCTCAAGGCGACTGCCGACCCGCAGAGAGAAGCCACCAGCTTTTCCACGATTACAACAGCAAACACAGCTTTACGATACGAGCGACAAAGACAGGTGGAGTAACCACCCACTGCGTCCGTACCGTAGTAGAAGTAATCCCAACAGCAATAACTGCAGTAGACTGTCCCGACCCCGAACGAAAACTCGGTCCCTAACCTGACGCCATCTCCTCGGACGTTGTTTGCGATAGCAGTTGTACTTTGTGCGCGGAGAAAAACAAGAAAAAAGATGGGGAAGCTACCAGAGGAGAGGTCGGGCCGTTGTACTACTTCATTCCTGTAGCAAGATAAAACGCACAGCACGCAGCGGTCACAACTTGCACGGCCAAACGAAGTGTGTCAGTTGTCGTTTTGCCATTGTTTCTCCCCATCCTTTTTCTACTTCGCTGCCGATCGCCAACCTGACACAGTTGCTTGTTCAGCAAAAGTCATAGATGGCAGACTTTCAAGTATCGGGAGAGGATCAAACGCTTTTGGCGCCCTTAAGGACTCTTCACTTTAGCCGCCCTAATTATTGTTATGCGGAAGCGCACCAGAAACACTGACAGCGGCGACAAAATTGAAGCATTAATAAATAGCTAGAGTACTCTTCAGTAAATAGGCCATAGGCCATCGGCCCTTGCCCTGTCGGTAAAGCGTGCCATTTGGTCCTTTCGTCGTTTTGGCGAAACTTTCATATATACGCAGGACATGCTTTGATTGTTGGGTGTGCAGAGGAGAAGGCAGAGTATTAAGCAGTTCAAAATAGAGAAAAAAAAAGTCGCCCGCAATTAGCTTTCATCAATTAACAATCATCAATCGGTTGTTCGACAGGAGACGCTTCCTCGGCTATTTGCATACACTGCCATATGCAAAGCAGGAAATTGTACAGAAATGGAAAAGCCATCACCCAATGGAATTGATGACTGCCCACACGGTACGGCAAACTTTTTGTCATTTCTCTCAGAA